ATAACATGAACCTTTATTATTCTAGAGAATTCAGTGATAAAGAAAAGTGCCTTTTAAATTAGCTCCTGCACCAGACTCCATTCAGAAATACAGCAGTTTAAGACCGCGTTGTCTCTGATATTGCTCAAACACGCACACATTAATAAGGATTTCATTAATAATAATCATTTGAGATGTAGTTGCAGTCTCCGGCTGATGAAGTCCCATAACTGAATATCACTGTAACAACGTCCTCATTCACATATTGAACCGTGAATGTGAACAAAGCTCCACACTGACGCACCAGACTCCATTCAAATATCTGACCATTTAAGGCTCATCGTTTATCAACCGAGAGCCGTTGGATTCCCTAAAATAAACTTTATTTCACTGATTAAAAGTTCACTGTTCGCAGCTGCAGATGTTGTGGCGTTCACAATAACGTTGCATTAACTTACAGTTCATTATTTAAACTATATTAAAGGAGTTTCATTCTCTCCATCACAGCTTCTGCTAGCTGGCTAATGTTAGCCGAACAGGTAGCGACGACATCGGCTACAAACCTGTTTCCATGGCGACGGCCCCGATATCAGCACTCAGTCACTGTCCGAGGACAAAGCTCACCGTTTCATTAAAATACCAACTCATAAACAGATCCGTGTTTCTTTGTCGTTATTCAGTCGCCGCCATCAACAGTGCAAAGACGGTATTTTCCCGGATATCAGAACTCTCTTCACGTCGCTTTACGTCGCTTTACGGCAGCTGCTGTTCACGTTCTGGCCGCCAGAGGGAGACATTTTACAACAAACATTCAAACATACCTAACAATAGATCATTAAAGCAGCAAATAAACAGAAAGGTTTAACCAAAAGAAAACAAACAAACAAACAAAACACATCTAAAATATGAGTTAAATTAACGTAACTCTGTAAATCCTGAACCATGACATCATTTTGTGTTTACTGAACCATATGACAAATAAATAAAAAATTTGCATATATGAGTTTTCATTTCTGTCATTTCTGTCATTACAGAAATAATAAAAAGTTGTCACAAGTTTCTTCAAAGATCAACTTTTATTAACATCAAATAAAACTGTTAGTAACAAGATGGTATAAAAGTCTGTAGGTCACGTATGTACAGTACACATTCACTCACTCGCTAAATAAAAACTTGTTTAAATAGACAACAATACAAAACACAATAGTATATTTTCCAACAACCTTAAAATAATTCCAATTCACAGGGATAACAGTTGTTGTATGTTCTTCTTGTATCTCACCAGGACGGGAAAGTTCTCCGATCAATAAAGTCTGTTCACAGATCTGGAGTCAGTTTCTCAAATTAATTCTGTCAATAAAGTTTCCACCAAAGAACAAATAATGATTAAAGAACACTATTATATATAATACGTTTTCAATGTTTTAACTACATTTTTCGTGGCAAAGGTTTATAATTAGTAAATTCTCAGATAATAAGACTTCATTTCCCACAGCTGAAGAACATGAAATATTAGGATTGGGCCTTTATTTGAGACAAGCCTTTATTTCTAATTTTCCCTGTTTTATTTTATATTTCATCATATTTGGGCTCTGCTCTTGTTTTAACTCAACACATCCTGCATGTTTATCTATTGTCTTTATAAATGTAGTATTATGTCCATTTCTACATCACTAATTCCATCAGAAGAGAACGTGTGTGATTGCTGCAGCTGCCACTGCTGCTCGCAGGCACAGCTTCTGAAGCAAGAAGTGTTCGGGGTCCACATCTGAATATCTGATACTCACTAAACACAAGCCTGTAAGTCTTGTTTGGCTTCATCTAAACATGCTATGCACTAATTTGGGTGAAGATCAGATAAAATATCCGTCTTTCCCCCAAAAATCCCGAATTGTGGAAAGTTTTTATGGCATAACTGGCGTGGCCTATATCAGTAAAATTAGCGCCTGTACGGAAATGTGTCTTCTACTCCTGATGGTCTAATCACACATCATTCTGCTTGTGGTTATTTGAAATCATTGGACTTAACTTAAAAAAGTTAATATAAATAATATCATTATTTTATGAATCGAAAGACAGTATAAATCTCTGCCCTGCTTCTACAGCACGACATTTGTCCTGTATCTACATCATTGACTTATGCCCTGTATCTACTGCATTGATTTATGCCCTGTATCTACTGCATTGATTTATGCCCTGTATCTACAGCACTGACTTATGTGCTGTATCTACAGCATTGACTTATGCCCTGTATCTACAGCAATGACTATCACATGAATTCCCCTGATAATACTAGTCCATGCGAATAGGGCTTATGACATGACTATTGTTGCGCTGATGGAATTAGCGCTATGGGAATGGACTTGCCTGGCCTCCATCATGCTAATTGAGACCTGGACACTGTTATTTGATTACTAACTTTCATGCAAGACAGGTCCTTTGAGAAACCTTTGGGAAAAATATCAGTAGTGAGAAGCCAAACATCAAGATGATGTTCCTGGTGGCTCAGAACCAGCAGTCACAAGCTGCAGCGTGAACACAAAAAACAGATTCCCTGCTTTGAAATTTTACCCAGAAACCCAGAGGTGGGTGATGAAACCTGAAAATGTTGAGACAATAAAGTAGCGTGTTGTTTCTCCTACACAGGTGTAGTGGTGTTGGCCCATGATGGGAAAGAGTCCAGGTCAAACATGACGCGACCCCAACTGTTGATGGCCAGACTGATGCAGCCGATCCCAATGATGTTCATCACCACGCCTGATTTAGCCTGCAGGGGGTGCAAAGGAGGAAAAAGAGGTTATTATGACTCCATGAGTGGGTCTGAATAGGCTTTTTGTTTTTCATAACAAAAACAGGACTCACCATGTCAGACACTTTGAGGAAACCATAGGAGAAGACTATGGCGTTTGGAGGCGTGGCCACCGGCAACATAAAGGCGAAGGAAGCGCTGAGGGTGCAGGGGATCATCACGTACAGCGGGTTCAAGCTTATAGACTGGGACTGGGTTGGGACACACAAAAAAAACATCTTCAGTAAATGTCAATATACAGATTTAATACAGTATATCATATCCTGAGACAAACATTTCACCATATTAGCACCACATTCTTATCTATTAATCCTGTTTTATTACCAATGAGTGAATGGGTTGTAGCGTAACTTAAAAAATCAGACCTTCCCCAACTTTCTTTGCTGTCTGTTGATGTGTTTCAATGTTTTTCTATATAGGATGAAGGTCGGATTTTCAGTGAAAATCCAAAGGATGTAACGTTTATGCCGTAGAAGTGCCTTCTCTCTCTGCTTCCGTACAGTGTGCAACACTAGCTAATGTTAGCGTATAAATGGAGTTTATATGTTTTTTACTGTCACTGTTGATGTCAAACATCTATAGGAAGTACAGTAGCTCAAGAGTGACCGTCCGTCCTCCCTTACTCTTATACTGTATTGTAATGTAATTGTAATGTATTATAAATGTATGGAAAGTGAATGAGTGTGTTTTGATACCATGGAGGCCAGGATAGGCAGGAAGAGTGTTGCCGTGGCGACATTGCTGGCACACTCGGTGAAGGTGGCGATAAGGAGGCAGAGGATGACGGCGATGGCCCAGGGAGGGATGGAGTGGAGTGGCGTCATCTGAGCACCGAGCCAGCGGGACAGACCGGACTCCTGACGACACACACACAAACACACACGTAATGTTGTGTTATTACGAAGTAAACGAAATGCTGCAGTGAACTGAGTCTGAAAGGTACAAAGGTGTTTCTGGCCTCTAGTTTTAAGGTGGTGTGGTAAAGGCAGGTGTACACTTTACCCCAAATTTCTCACTTTCAAAAGATTTTCTTAGCAAAATGTTTTTTTTTTCGAAAACTCTGTCTCCGTCCTGTTTACACAACGTTTTAGCTTTTAAAGTTTTTCTTTGCGTTTCGAAAAATGTTCTGTGTTCATACGAACAACAGCTGACCCACAACAATCATACAGAAAAACTGCAGAAAAACCAAAACGTTGACCTCTGTTTAGGAACTGTGGCTCCGACCAGGACTCTGACTCTGGGGATGAAGACTTGGTGGATTCAGGCAGCGACAGGAGAGGAATAAAACGGAGGAAGAGGAGCCAGTTTGTAGCCAGTTAATTAGTCAGTAAGATTTTGACTTTGTTATGTCTTGTCCAAAATTGTCTTTTGGTTGTCTTCCATGGACATAGAGGTGGACTTGTCGTCACAGTTTTCACAGCAAGGCGTTTTGGCAGTTTACACGCCAACCGTTAAGACCGCACTCTGGAATTTTGGCAGAAAACTGTGTTATCATGTGATGGAAACAATACAGGAAAACACACCTCGCTGCCTTTGGCCAGAGCGAAGCCGCCTCCCAGCAGCAGGACGATGTTCCAGGGCATCTTGTTCTGAGTCACCTGCCAGGTGAGCAGAGGAGGGGCGGGGCCTCGTGACACCTGGGACTCTGATTGGATAAAAAATATTTAAAATCATAAACACATACACAAATCATCATCATCATCTGTCTGCTCTGTGTGTGTGTGAGTGTTACCTGTGTCACAGCTCCTCCAGAAGCAGAGGAAGTGTGGCGGCTCAGAGGGAAGAACAAACAACAGGACGGCAACAAACAGAGAGACGGTCGCGTCCGTGACGAACCTGCAGAGACGATAAGAAAAATATTTGTATTTTCAACTGCTCAAATTA